GATAATGTCGCGAAAAATTCTGAAACCTAGAACACTCAGTTCCGGCAAAAAGATGAGGGATCACAAACAGGACAAGTGGACTTTATAAAGCTTCGGCCAGTCAACAGCAAAAGTTTGAGCGGAAATTTATAGCAAATGAGTGTTTCAACAACTACGATAAAAACAAGATTAAGATCAAACGATATTTGATCACTATGTTCTTAGAAAAACGTAGTACGCTGCCTCAATTACATTTACAACTCCATCAGTTCAATGTCACGGATTGGAGAGACTCAATGTTGCATGAAATTTATTCCAATCGATTCACAACTCTTACGCTGATGCTTTCACCTTCATGTATAGCAAGGTCGAGTTCTTTGTGGTAACTTCTGAAACCTTGTTTGTACAAGTGTTCCTATTTTTTTTCTTTCTAAACTAAAAAACATTTAAGCTTGCACAAAAGTAATTTAAAACAAACAAGTAAAATCTCTCTCTATATATAAAACTCACCGTATGTATAAAAAGTTTTCGTTGTTGTAGTAGTCATAAAACAGCCGAGTTGTTAACCAATTTGCTTTATTATAAAAAATATTTTGGAGAGTGGCGGACATACCAACATCTTAGATGAAGTTTTAAGTAAAAGTGTACAGAAAAATCCCCGATTCTCTCAGATAAGGGAATAACAATATAACACGTGATCAAAGTGAAGGGAATATTGGCTATTTTTTAATAAATTACGTAAGAGTTTTAGGGATAAAATCTACCGCCAAGGAGACGCGTCATGATTTTCGGTGGGCACGTAAAAGCGATTAAAATATTCTTTTAGCATATTTCTTTCTCTCTCATATTTCATTTCTCTTTGGCATATTTATTATATGCCAAAACGAGAGATTTACTATACCTCCAGCGCGGGAAATAGAACGAAACTGGAGTTTAAGAAAAGTGATTTTGGAATACATTGAGACTTTAAAATATATAATATTAGAATTTGAAATAAAATTGAGATTATTACATGCATATATGTTTGATCCAGCATCACTTCCGAATCGCTAATCCAATTTTGATGAAACTTCGTACACAGGTTCCTCACGATATGATTGGAAGTACTAAATGGGTAAATAAGCCCTAGCCCAAACCCTCGGGTAGGGTGGGGCAAAGTCTCCAAAATATATGTTGGCAATAGGCTGATTGACTCGCTTGACGATTTCGGAGGCTTGGACGATTTTGATGAAATTTTGTATACACCCTTCTAATTAGCCAACTAAAAATACTATTGGGGTAAATAAACACTAATCTAATCCGTCAGCATAGTGAAAGGCAAAGTCTTTAAAATCCATTTAATAAATGGGCAGATTGGCATGAAATTTGATATAGCTGGAACAATTTTGATGATACTGGTCATATATATTCCTGACTAAAAGTAATGGGTAAATAAACGCTAATCCAATTCCCCAGAAAAGGGTGGGGCAAAATCGTCAAAATACATGTTAGCAATAGGCTGATTGACTCGCTTGACGATTTTGATGAAATTTTGTATACACCCTTCTAATTAGCCAACTAAAAATACTATTGGGGTAAATAAACACTAATCTAATCCGTCAGCACAGTGAAAGGCAAAGTCTTTAAAATACATTTAATAAATGGGCAGATTGGCATGAAATTTGATATAGCTGGAACAATTTTGATGATACTGGTCACATATATTCCTGACTAAAAGTAATGGGTAAATAAACGCTAATCCAATTCCCCAGAAAAGGGTGGGGCAAAATCGTCAAAATACGCGTAAACTCTTGGAACGATTGCTTGGCTGGATCTTGGAACATGCATGAAAGTTTTATATCCTAGGTTGCTGAAACAATAAGATGCCCTCGAAAAATTGGCCAACAATACAAGAAATAAATGTAATACACCATATTATGATCTATGTTTAAATGAAAGAAACTTTTTGTACTACTAATTTATGAATTATTTCATAAAAAAATTGAGAAATATTTCAGCAAAAAAGTAATATCAATAAACATCATGCTATTTTTAAAATATTCTTCGTCTATATTTCGGTATAATCTTTTCTTTCAAAAGGTTTTGTCCTAAATAAGACCGGGCAACCTGCTATTATTAAAATATAAAGAATGATGTAAAAAGCAATTTTCTTTCTATACACATAATGCTATTATTTCCGTACTTATTTTTAACCATATTTTTGTACATTTAAACGTAAGGTGGTGGTGGTGGGGAAATATCACCTACGTGCCTAAAATCGCCAACCACGGTTACTTCTTGATTTAAAGTGACATATAGTGGCCTACCCGAACTACAAAGCTCCCCTTCAGTAGTTTGAAGAAGTCATTTTGAACTTACGACGTTTTTTCTTTTCTCTATTAATTTTTGCTGATTTTCGTGATAGGTGAATTAATAATCGTGATTCATTATTTATAGTATAATCAGTAAAGTTCAAGTCATGTTATACCATAGTGACAATAATTGGCTACATTTTCGAGTAGTATGTTTTTTGGTTTGCGATCCCATTCCGAAGGGGGATGCCTGATATTTGAGGGTTAGGTTGTTCCCAATATCACCCTAGCCCTTTGAGGGGCACTATATTAAATTTAAAAAATACATGGTTGATGCCCTATCACCTGACAATGTTCCTAAGTTCCTTTTTATTTTGAACTTAGGAACATATAGTGGGCGATATTAGGAACACTGTTTTAGCAGAAAAAATTCCGCGGTTTCAAAAACAATTTTGGCGGCGAGTGTTAAATTTTTGTGTTAGAGTTGTAATTCAGTTTGTTTTTGGATAACTGTACAGGCAATAAATTGGAACAATTTTTAGACAAATTGCGCATGAATTAGTACTCTTATTAAAATAATGGCGTAAGTGGGCGATATTTGGGCTCCCTAACTTACATTTTACTGAGTTTATTTCAGAAAGTCTGCTTTCCTACCATTTTCAATTTCTGCGTCTTGTTCCAGTATCCAGAGCTTGCGAAATTCCCCAAAATAATTCCACTTCCTTTTTAATTTACAATACAGCCAATTCACGTGATGTCACAGACACGTGACAAACGTAACTGGGCATGCCGCACGTTGCCTTCAGCTGGACTGTGACGTCACGCCTTTTGTCCTTCTTCATGATGCGCAACGGATTTAAGAATTAAATTGGTGCGGTATGTTTGATGTGGATCACATGGAAATGGACTCCATTTCCTTTTTATTATAATTCATTTTACTCATGCTTTTCATTTTTGACTTCTTGAAGATGGCTTGAATTCTTACTATTTATAAACAGATGCAGTTTATTTTTATTACTTTGGTGTTTTTGTCTGGTGGGAAATATTTTTTGATTTTCCTTGCATTTGTAACAGTAGGGATAGAATGATAACACAGCATGTGCATTAGAAAATGGTCCAAGTGAAGAATCATTAAAAAACATAAAAAGTCTATCATTTATTTCGCAGTGTTATTCCCTTGGCATAACCATATCTTAGGTAATCTTTTGAAAGTTGGACAGTTAAATTGTCTTATTTAAGCCTTTCTATCAAACGAATGAAACGCGAATATTTACATATCTTTAAATGAAAAATACACAACAAAGCTCACTTTCACAATCACCAACACATTTTAAAATATCAATCTTTTCAGACGTAAACATAGCAATATAAAAATCAGCAGCTAATTTTCGCTTGCGAAACACACATGCTTAAATGTGATCATCAGTAAAAACAAGGCTGTATTATCAGCAAACTGCTGAAAAGGTGCAATTCCCAAAGGACTACTCAAGATGAGAAAGAATAATAATCTATGCGTCAAAATTATTACGCCAAAATGAATTAGATGGCGAATAAAATTTAATCAGGAACTGTTTTCTCACATGGAACGCGGAAATGAAGCAAAGAGGAAGACAGGCAAAAGTTGAAATTTCATAAGAATTAGGTTAAAAACCACAATGAGCGAGCGAGTTAGGCAGGTTGAAAAAAATGCAAAAAAAAAAAAAAAAAAAACCAGCTGTGTAGCTCAATTATAAACATTTTTATTGAATCAACAATTATGAGGAAAAACAGGCTGCAATGGTGAATACATAATTGCCCTATCTTTTTTTAATCTTCATTAAATTACGATTCCTACGGTAGCTTTTCCCCTTCCAGATCTGACATCGCACTTCTCAGGACCTAATGTGACAGCTGATGACAAACCAAAGTTATATACAACAGATTAGTATGGAAAACAATTGATCTTTTTATTTTTGAATATGGCGAGTATACAAAGTGGAAACATATTGTAATAATAACAATAATAAAAAACCTCAAGATTTTGAATGAATGCATTTTACACCTCCATGAGTCCCAAACATCGATTTTGGAAATTTGTGTGGTCTGTTCTGTGAACACAATAACTTAAACAAAACGGATCGAGTTGAACAAATGCTAGGTATACATCTTATCTTCAAACTGACTTGACTAAGTTTGCGTGAATTTCAAAACATATTAAAAGTTTATTTAAATGGTCTTTTTGATATCAAAAGCTATTTTCTGTCAATAGCGACTAGGACGTCATATTCCAATAGATACATCAAAGTGACCATCATGTTAATTTTATTAGTTTAGTTTTGATTAATGGTTGTTTGATGCCTATCAAGGGCTTGTGGGATTGCCTCGTACTTTTTTAACCATCGTGACGAGAAATGGGGTCATTTCAGCACGCGGCAGTACCTCTTCCTCAGTAGAAGCAGAAAATGTGTTTTTGAATTTATTTAGTCTTCAGTCTATTAGACTTATTTCATTCCTACTATGTTCTTCTCCACTTCACGTATTTTGTTTATATCTCTCGCAAATTTCTTAATCGTTAATAAAATATTCTTTTATTCATCCATCAAGTTCAAATACATTTTTTAAACTTGTGTGGATGACATTGATGTTATACAGTTTTTAAAATATTAATTCATTAATTTAAATTCAACTTAGTAATTTTATTTATTAGACCTGCAAGTAGATCATGGATGTAGGGAGTAAGAAATGCGGAACGACTTCTGGTGGCGCAATGGTAGCGCCGATCTGACTCCAGATCAGAAGGCTGCGTGTTCAAATCACGTCCGGGTCAAGAGTTTACTCAAGACATATCATTTTGCACTATAATTTATAATGAAATATCTCTTGTTGGCAATTGCAATCCAAAATGTTTTAGTTCCCCGTTTGAATGGATAAACTTGGGTCATTTTTTCTTCAATTCTTCCTACTATTAGTTCACACTTTTCCTATATATATTTATATATCTTGTTTAAATTTTCAATCGTTAATAGGCTTTTTTATTCGTACTCAAGTTCAAAATACATTTTTTTAAAACTTGTAGTGGATGACATAAATCATTAATACAGTTTTTTTTTCCAAATATTAATTCATTAAATTATTTAATTAATTAATTTTAATTTTCTATGGGAAAAAAAATTCTAAAATAAAATTTTCTTTGTTGACCCTAAGTAGGAATTGACTTTAATTTTATATATATATATATATATTACTTGTTTTAGTGGAACTCATAATTTGGAATCATAATCCAGACGAAATACGAGCCAGCACACCATCTCTCAACTTCCACGTCACAACATGAAGACATTTGATCAGAACAGATTTAATGAGCACCAGTACCACATAGTGTTTTTACATAATCTATGTAAATGAAGCCGGACATCAACAAGCACATACATAAATTTGGAAATGTTATCAATCCTGTATAGAAAAATAACGCACACACAAATAAACACCAAAGCACAAAAAATCACAAAGTATTTAATCTGTAACACACGGGCTGTCCACATACGAAACAATCATAATAAGTAACGAGTTCTCGCATCATTATTAATAGAACGACAACAGAACTTTCAGGAGGAAAAAATGTTGTTCCTTTTTCGAACATTCTTCTTCTTCTAGATGATAGCAAAGAAAAACTATCAGGTCGGAGAGTGTTAAGCCGAAAAAGTAATGACCACACCTTAGCTCGCGGCCCGTGCCTCAACCTGGCGTGTTAACTGGAGAAGTTCGCGATTTCCGCCCCAGCACTGGCTTGAAACCGAACACGTTTCTTCGTGCTTGACACTTAATATTACAATAATAATAGTACTCTCATATTCGCCGACGTGATGCAACAAGAAAGTTCGCGCATTGTGTTTCACTTTGCTTTCTCTTTTCGATCATAAAAAGACACGTGAGGTCATTTCTTTTATGAACATAAACAGGGCTGCCAGCATATATAGACACACAGGATGATTCAAAGTTCATACATAAGAAAGTGATTTGCAATCAAAATGTTGCTAAGTGTATTCGATGCTCCCCCCAAGCACATATCTTTCAGGTTATCCCAAACCCCCCCCACCCACCTGTTCTAGAGACAACCGGTGTTTCTTTTTCTTACAGTGATTCATAAAATTAGGTTTTTAAGGGGGGGGGGAAAAATTGAGACTCTCACTGATCTTGGGACACACGGATGAAATTAGATAGTCAATTTGTATTTGTTTCCGAAACGTATGTAGAATGAAGGACTCGTTGGTTTAATAATAAAGTTAAGTCGGCAAAACTGATGTTAAATTTCCAGAAGCTGAATTCAATTATGAAAGAGTGTTCATTCTGAATTACGTGTGCTTTTCATATTTAAAACAAATTTGATGTCTGAGATCGATGCGTTTTATTTTTTAATTTCATCGTTTACGGTAAAACTGTTCGATTCAGGAGCAAGTATTAATAGACGACAGTCGGATAGTAGAAAGTGAATTAGAAGCAATAACACTGAAAGGGTTTGATTTACTTTGTTAGATTAGCCTCCATGGAAGCTACGCAAAGGCTATTTTTTTTAAGACAGGAAACACATAATATGCAACCGTGATCCGAATGAAAGAAAAGGAAGGACAGTACGAAAGCCGGAGACCCACCTCTCTGAACTTCCGCTAAACCACGGGAAAACGTTTGATCTCGATGGTTGAAGTGGATCAGGCCCATCGGACGCTTCGGTATAAAATTTCCTAATTCTATAAAGTTAAGTTCTAGTCTTTTATATTATATAGTAGTTTTTTATATTTTTATAGTCCTGAAACTAGGGATAAACGAATATTCGGTATTCGGCCCTTTGCCAGATAGTGTAGCAGATATTCGACCGAATATATTGGATAATATTTTTAATGTGCTGCATGCATTTAACAAAAGAATTTTACAGAATCACATTTCAGTGCATTTATTATTAAAAACAAATCCAACTTTTTTTTTTTTTTGGTATCAATTTTAAGTTGCATAAGGCTAAACGATGTATTCAATAATGTTGCCTATCATTTATAGAGTCTGTTCCATATGGTTATATATATATTGCCTTCAGAAAATAAACGGTCACTATATATTGTTTGGCAGGTGCTGAAGGTATTTTTCTTTGCTAAATTTGCGAACCTTGGAAATTTTTTTCCTCCACTAGTGGAAACTCCATCCTATCTATTAGAGGGATTTCTTTATCGAAAATATGAATTTACTTCTAGTGATTTTAATTTTTCCATTCAATTTTCTTCTGTGTTGACATTGTCATGTTCTGCAATGATGACTCTTATTTCTTTGAAGCAATTCCAAAATGACATTTCTCATTTCTTATTATTGGAATTAAGGTTACTTAAAATATTACAAATATCAACTGCTTGACAATCCCAAAATTAAAGGACTTTCTCATTTCTTATTAATGGAATTAAGGTATTTAAAATATTACAAATATACTGTAAAGATATTAAATTTTTTTTAAATATACAAACAATAAAAACTCAATGTTATTTCATCTTAAATTTTTTCATTTAAAAATATTTCGTTTAATTCAAAAGTGAAAATGTTTTTTTTAAAATTTAAATAAACCGCCGCATATTCAGTTTTCTAGAAGCCAAAATCACTATTTATTACATCCCTACCTGGAAACCAAGTATCTGCCACTGAAAAGACCCACTGTGGCCTGCTATATGACTAACTACTGACTTCCTCAAAATCATTGAGCGCCCTTCAACAAAATATGAAATTTGAATTCATTCCGGCTCAAAAAATTCAGAAAGTTCAAGCTTACGTGAATGAAATTTTAGCACGGATCTTAAGAATTAAGTAGGCTTAAAGGTTACCTAAGACGGGTGAGAACAATGTGAACACGGAGTGCTTTCCTTCAACATTCTTCGTAAACTTCTACAATATGTGCACGTTTTGTGTTCAACCTCGTCGTATAATGCAGAATCGAGTATGCATTTTTTTAGAACAGTATCTCCTCCCCGATGACCGATTATTGTCCAAATTTGACAAAAAGATCTATTATTTTGGTATTATGGCGACATGGAATTTCATTTTCCTAGTTCTTGCATTTTTTGGTTCTGCGTGCTCACATGCCTAGATAAGACAAACAAACATATACAGTCGAGCGAACAGAAAACATATACAGTCGCAACTGAAAGATTTTAGTCAACTATTTGACAGTGATCTACAATTTTCAGTGCAATGATCCCATACTAAATTTATCCATCAGCTTGTTGCATTTGAGTTATCACGTGTTCACATACCACATGAACAGAAATGCCGACAACATACTCAATCTAATGACGGATTTGAACCAAATTCGATACATATCTACAATTCTCAGATTTGCACCTGCGTAGTTAACGGCCTCGCATCCAACATCCTCATTCTGGAGAGTTGTTCCGCAGTTTCGTTGCATGATAGATTCCTCCGAAGATCGGCACAAGAGCAGTTATCAATTTCTTCGCGCAGAGGGAGCATGCTTCTGATTTTATCGTATTAGGATGAAAGAGGGTGCGCAGGCAGTGTCTCGCACGGTGCACCATATTCAGTGGTGTCAGCGTTATGAGGCCGGGACGCGAAAACATCAAGGACTTATCGCCTGGGCAGGCGCACGTTGTGACCAGCAGTGCCACGACCGCCGCTGTTTATGAGCTCATACGCGGCAGACTCGTCCGGATCACCACACGTGAAATTGCTGTTGAACTGTCGATAAGCCAAGGAACTGGCCATCACAGAATCCACAAAAGCTTGGTTATGGAAAAGTGTGTGCACGGTGGGTGCTAAGCATCTCAGAGGAGAATCAGAACGGCGAGAATGGGTGTTTCCTGACCCAGGGAGTTTTCTACATGAGCCATCCACTCCCTTCTGGGATCGGTGTATCAACGTCAGTGTTATGGTGCACTGTTCCACATGAACTGTAATTAGAATATTGTTATTAAAATTTCTTTACATATAACTATAGTCTCTCCTTTTCATTTAGGCGCATTATAGTTCGTTGCGTTTTTGAGTTGTCGTGTTAACATGTACACGGATGTCATACAAGCAGATCTCCTTTGTTGGACTTCGTCAAAATTTGAAAGATGTCTACGATTTTGATTGTAAGACCACATGGCAAAATTTCATCCGTCTATCTTTTGAGTTACCAAGTTCAGTTCACAGACAGACGCAATTCAAAAATGGTTTTCGGACACAGGGAGGTCTGAAACGTGGAACTTCACAATATCTACAAACAGAATTATTTCGACGGTTAAAAAATAATTTCCCTTTCTATACTTCACATACAAAGTAAAGGGAAGTCGGAATTCAGTGACTTGCGAAACTTTGAAGAAGGTAGCATTTTTAGTTCATTAAAACGTGACAAGCATAGACTCGATGCAGGGAAAGGAAAACAAAAAAAAGGTAACAATTTTTGCGACGAAAACTTGTCTATACATACAGACTGACAGTTTTCTCCTTTACATAAGGAAAAAGAAAGCAACCACGGTTCTTGATTTAAAGATGAGCCGCTTTCGGGGCCACGGATTTTGGGGCCAGAAATAAGCATATCAACAGAATCTTTCTACGGTTCCTCTTTTCAG